GTTGTAGACGGGGGCGGGCTCGGGTGGCGCGTAGTTGTAGCCCTGGGGCGCTGCTCTAGCGGCCGCCACCGCCAGCAGGAGCATGAGGACCTGAGGGCGGAGAGTCGGCCGGTTAGCTCGTGAGGCCTTCTGCGTATGTACATTATGTATACGTGTTGTGCTGCACCTGTGTTGCAAGACATAGTACATATATTGCGTGCTGCCATGTCACTAGCGTTGTTCAGTTATGAATTTTGTTGTTTACGGATGTTATATAATGAAGTGTTACTTAGGTTGTGCAATGAAATATTCCGATGGTTAGTGTATATAAGTGTTGTATAATGTATCATTGCGACGACTTAATTAGTACTATTGTTAACGATGACTGTTCCCAGAGAGGCAAGTAGATATATTTTTGACGGATGACTACGAGAAGGAAGCAGAGTTGCCACCATTACCCGCAAATGATGCGAATGCAAGTCTAGAGCCATGATTTCGGCATTGACTTGTATTAATAATCAATGATTACCTGCAAAATTGAACTAAAGTGCAGACGCTGTTATGGTAATATGCACGTTACAGACATCTTAAACCGAAGTCTACGCTCCATCATCGCATCCGCATGATTCGCGGTTATGTTAGCAACTATTTAAGGAAACCTTTCATGTCATGTCCTTAGCTTTCCACTGTTGTCGTTATCATGATAATCACTATTAGCAGGTGTAGTTAGTATGTGTCTTTGAGCACTCGCATGTGAATAAATACATATGTATGCCTTTTGAATGTTCACTTACGATAAAAAAGTATATCATCCTCAGTCTGGTCTATCGTGTTTATTCATTAACTAAAACACATGCAGTTAGAGAGTTACCATGAGTCTAGCTGCAAATCTGCGAGTCATGAAAATTTCGAAAATTTACTGGTTCGGTAAAATCAGATCCGGTTCAACAGCTATTCGAACAATCACCCCCCTCCCCACTTCTACCCTCTCCCCTCTTCCTCCTCTCCTCCCCCACCTTATTTTTTACAGCTTTTTTCTCTTCTCCTTCTGGTGGGGTGGTGGTGGTAGGGGGGGAGAAGAGGTTAGAGCGGACATAGTGAGAGATGTAGTGGGAACAGAGAAAGAGGCGAGATAAGAGGATGTAGAGCAGGAGGAGAAGTAGGAGAAGGAGGAGGGGGAAGAGGAGGAGGAGGAGGAGGAGGAGGAGGAGGATAGTGAAATAAGAGGAAGATATAGGATCCTTAGGAGACATACAAGATACTTAACGGGGTGAGCGATATAAGCGTGAAGCTAATGAGAAAGACCTTTAATTTAAAACACGGGCAGC